CATCTCTGGTGTCCCCGTCAAACTCGACTTTAAATCTTAATTTTTGAAGTAGCCGTGGTCGTGCACCTTGGAATATTTCGGCATCCTGTGGGTTTGCAAACTTGCCCCAATGTCGGATGGTAAAGTTTGCAGACAGTCGAGAAGAGACGATCTTTCCGGCAGACTCGTGGAGAGATTTGCTGATGTATAATATTTGAAGGCTTTCTGCAGCAACCACTCGTTCATCCCAGTCTCTCATCTCCTCTGGCAGGTATGAGGATTTCGTAGGAATACAAAAACCGAATATATTGAGCCACATCTCGGTTGGTAGTTCGGGAAGGTCCAGGGGGTGGTTTGGACAATGAGAGCTGTTTTCGAGAGCGACCCTCTTGTAGCAGCGCCTTCTGCTCTTGGTGCGACCTAAACATTGGACGGTTCGCTTGAAGACTTTTTTCTGGCGTCCTTTGTCCTTCGCTTTGTGAGGCTTAGGAAGGAAGGGCGGTCGCTCGCGGAGATTGTAAACATAAGGTCTTGTAACCATTTCACCGGTAATCTGCCAAAACGTTTTGTGGTAGCGCTGGATTTAAGCAGTAGAAAACACGAAGTCGATGCAAAGCCTGTTAAATAGTGAGCATCATGCGCAGATAGCAGGGTCACAAGAGGGGGCATTTAGTTGATCTAAGTACTTATCAATAGCTGCGTTTGCACGGTGAGGAGCCCAGGATGTTGCCCTACAGCGGATAGACTAGGCAACCAGCCGTCCTTAATGTTTTGCCCGGCTTTAGGTTTATGATCAACGTTTAACTAAAGACTAAAGATGATATTCCGCTCGTATTGTCGAAAGTCCCCGTGCGAGTGACTTTTTGCTTGAGGAGGCAAAAGATCACCATAAAATTTGAGCATAGACACAAGATCAAAGAGGGAGGAGGGAGGTAATTAGGCCCATACCCGATTAAGTTTGTTATAGGAACGACAGCGGCAAGGTCATGTGGTCAAGCATCTTACACAACGATGCGCCCATGTTTCCGTCCCGTTCTTCGAATCAACGCCTTACAGTAACAATACTATAGCGGCAAGATATTGTAAACTTCGACGAGGATCTTGCCGCTATTGTAACAAATTCTTCCAACACTAAGTTATGTCGTCACCGCGTACTGTATCGAACCCCAAAGTATTACAAACATCTCTCCTAAGTCGCACGTTTTACCCGCCACCGTTCAAACTACAGTGTTACATGTGCCGACCAAATTCAAGAGCGCACCCTTTGCGGACCAACAATATGGCCGAATCTTTAACAACTTCCAGCGCGATTTCAAAATGGACCAGGAAGTGCGCGATTCCTGGAGGCCCCAACATCCCAACAACAAACGACCGATGTCTCCCAATTGTGTTTACTTCAATAGTGAACACTTTGTGGCCGAAAGTGTTCATCATGATTTCGAATTTTCTGCTAGACAAATCTGGTGCTCAAAACTCGGTGCACACATTTCTCAATCGCTCCTGCTAGAGAATCTCGTTGAGGTTTTTAGTTCTAGCGGCCTCTCGACTGATGAAACCGATAACTACAAGCAGACTTGGCAATATCAGTTGTCTCATCGCACAACATCTGCGGTTGTCACATTCCATGATTTTAAGGGCCTACCTCGGTTTAGCTTCCAAGGCCGGAGACAAGATCTCGAGCCTGGCATCGCACTTCTTAATTATCTACAGTATTGAAGAGGAGAGTTTCTATCCCAGAAAATGAAGTGGAGTACCGGCAACAGCTTTCCGAAGGCTTCATGATGGGGTTAGCGTCGACCACAAAATTGTGCTGGAATTCCGCAATTGGTAATGTCGACATGGCAACGCAACAACCCCAAGCAGGGAACAACTTTAACACGCAAATCTCTCCGCACCTTCTCTTTTATCGTCTACTTTTGGTTTTTGGCCCGTTGTTCTCACGCTCTACGGGTGTGATATGGGATTATGACCCTACAACATGAAACTGGGTGCCGGCTCAACCTCCGTAATGTCTGTGGTTTATTAGAAATTACGTACAGTGGCGATGGTACATGCGAAGTCCTGGCAAAAGGAATTAATAATGTATATCATCTCCGACTCACTCACTACACCTTACGATGGGCTTGTTGCTGGAAGGGTTGCGCAGTTGGAATGGGATCAAAATGTCTTGGCACTCCCCAAAATGCTACCCTACCTAACTATCAGCCATTCTATAAGCCCACCAATTGGCGGTGGAGACAACTGCACCAGGGACGGCAGTGTCCCCCGTACCATGGCTGGATATTAGGTTCAAATCGGCCGTTACTCGTTGGCAGCCAGAAAAGGGGCCAAAGAGTGGACCAGACCGGCCTTGGAAGACCGGCAGACACCTCCTTCAGGTCGATGCTGCCCTGCCAGGCAGGTACGTCCGTAGGCTCTACGATGCCCTCACCCGCCGGGAAGCCCAAGTCCTGGCTCAGCTGCGGACAGGACACTCGAAACTGGGAGACTTTCTAGCGAAACTAGGTGTCGAAGAAAGCTCAGGGTGTAAATGTGGCGAAAAGGTGGAGGCTGTGCTACTTCCTTTACTGCCCTCGCTTCCAAGATCTGCGAGCGGAAATGATAGAAGAATCGCAAGGCCGGTGTGGAGACTTGTCATATATGCTTCGAGGAAGATCGCAGAATCGCCGTCCTGGCGGCTCATGGGTCGATGGACCAATAGCAAAATGGACACCCAACTTGAAGATCGTCCGGGCCGTGATCAGATATGCATTGGCAACAAGGGAGACTAAGTACAGCGCAGCGGAGCACAGATAAAGCAGGTGGCGGGTTAAGATAAGAGGCTATGGAAGAGCCAACAGGCCAAGGTAGGTCAAGGTTGGTGCAGTGCTTGGTGTGGGCTGTTGGATGAGTGTATGAATCGGAAATGTAGAGGACTTAGCTACAGTAATAGTGGGGCTACATAGACATCTGTTCTGCACAGCCAATGGAATAAACTACAACTACAACTATGAACCCGAAGCCGCTCAAGCAAGTCTGTACCGATATTGGCAGGATAGAAATATGTTACAGTGCATACACTACAGACTCTCTATTTTAGTCCGACACAGCTACGCCGAGGCTGCAATGCAGACATTCCCCGTCTACCACTCCGTTGAGAAGCTCAAGAAGCGCCTTCTCCCTGGCACGTTCCTCCATACCTTGGTGTTCCCATATGGAGAGCAGTGTCTGCAAACAACTTTTGCTCTTTAGGTGGCTGTTCCCGAGACTTCTCGAAGTCCCCACGACTACAAACCAAGCCTTGAGTGTTCTCCGCTTCCTCATACTTTCCCTGGTCGCTCAGCACTACCGCGAGGTTGTTCATACTCTCCAGCGTGGATGGAGGCTCCGTTCCCAGCACCGTCTTCCTCACATTCACCACTTTGCAGATACATTTGCTCTGCTTCCTCATACTTTCCCTGGTTGCTCAGTACCACCGCGAGGTTATTGATGCTCTCCAGCGTGGATGGGTGCTCCGTGCCCAGCGCCGCCTTCTCCGCTTTCACCACTTGTCGATATTTCTGCTCTGCTTCCTCATAGCTTCCCTGGTCGCTCAGTACCACCGCGAGGTTGTTCATGCTCACCAGCGTGGATGGATGCTCCGTGCCCAGTACTACCTCCTTCACATCCACCACTTGTCGATGCATCTGTTCTGCTTCCTCATACTTTCCCTGGTTGCTCAGCACTACCGCGAGGTTGTTCATACTCTCCAGTGTG